TAAAACACATTTCACGATATTTAAACACACAAAGTTTTTATAATTTCACGGTACCTTATACGTATGCTCGTGTTACTTTTCCATATTGAAGACGAATGAAGCTTCTTAGAAACTTATAAAGTTTTTCACAAACGATTGCCTCGTATCTTGAAACTCGTGTTCGGATAAAATTGCCGATCAAGGTCAGTATAAAACTTTTTCCTATTTGACTTCTTATATGACTTATACTTCCTGTATCACTTCAATTTTATAAATTCATCATTTTTTAAATTCATAAGTTTTCTTTTAAATAGATTAAATAATTAAAATTAAATAATATCAAATATACAAAGTGTATTCAAAATGTTGTAATATCAAGTGTTGAGATATCTACATAATGTATTTAATTAAAATGTGTCAAAGATGGAAAATCAAAATGATGGGGGGAAGGAAATTTTTCAAAATGAAATTCAATTCGCAGTAAAAATGAAAGAGAGAAGCTTTGCCACGAGCTAATTAAATTCATTGAACTAAATATATTGCATATCAATGGAATCAATTTCCAATGGAATTAGTTTGTTAGATCCTCTTCTACATGCAAACTAGAGTTTCAATAAGAGTTGTTCCGAAACAAATTGATTCGACTACTAAGAATTTTCTCATCGTTCGATCGTTTCGATTTTCAAATTCTCCCTTTTTCAAATTAATTAATCAAGTCGATATTAAAACTTTACCTTAATATTGCCTTATTTCTAAATAAAATAAGATTTTCTCTCTCTCTCTCTCTCTCTCTCTCCCTCTTATACGCACTGTAATAACATACTATAAATATTATATTTCTGAAATAATTATAAATTTGTGACACCTTATTACACCGATACAAGTTCCTCGAACGAATAAAAATTATACGACTGCTCCACGTGTTTCATTCTCATTCATCTTACGATATATCCTGACCGTGTCCATTACCTTTTACGAGAAGAAAAATGAGTCGTGGAATAAAGTTACAACGAATCGTTCAATCGGGAGGAAATACTTTTTACAATGGCCATTTTCACGAGATTATTTAATTCATTTTTTCCTCGAACAATAACCATAATTAAACTCTCGTTGAAGGCGTATGAATATTGATTCAGATTCATTTATCGAAATGCTGAAAAAAAAAATCATTAAAAGTTTCGAGATGTTATTATAATTCTTTTCTTTTAAATAGATACTTGTTCATTCGTTATATATATATATAAAAAGAATTATTGTAAAGGAAAAATTTAAATTAATGATCACGCCATATTTACATATACATGAATCTTTTCAACCATCTTTTTTCGTCTATTTTCTTTAAAATAAAATCAAAATATGTTAGTGGTAATATTCTCTATATCGAGTCCCTCCTTTCTTCAATGTATTATATATAAGAACTGCGTTTTGAATTTGTTTATAATATTTATTATAAACAAGCGTATGCACTTACTTCAATATAAAATTTTTTAAAAAGGGAAAGGAAAAATGTGATGATCACGAGTGAAAAAAGAAATTGCTTTTGAATCATACTTTATCAGTCAAGTTTAAAAAGTGCATTCAACGAGGAATGCGATCAATAATTTCGCATGTCGAAATTAAAGTGTAAAAGTGAGAAGATTTAATTAAATACATATCCGGATACGATTATGGAAAATATTTTTATCCGAGGAAATTTGGTTTTTCTTAATATTTTAATTTTATTAGAATTCTATTAGAATTAAATTCTGATGTATCTCTAGTTTTATAATTCTATATAATCCCAATATGGAATGATACGTGCCAATTAATCAAAGATCTTGATACTTCTGAAAACTTACCTTCAGAACGTTCCATCACCAAAGAAAATTAAAAAGTTTTTTGCGAAGAACTTCGCAAACTATTCATTAAACACACTACAAATTGCGAAACCTTCAAATTTTTCTAATACAAAGAGTATCGTTAAATTTATTTATTAATTTCATCAATAATTTAAACAATAATTTATCGATTAAAGTATCAAAAATTATTTCACTTTTTCACGATTTATCAGTCGAACGTAAATTAATTAACAAGTATTTTTTTTTACAAAAATTAATCGAGCATTCGAAATTTACAATAACACAGAAAATAATAAAGAAGAAATTAAAATTCTGGATCAGTTACATCACTACTTTCTTTACTACTTGAATAAAAAGAAATGGTTTAACATTTTTATACCAATATCACAGAAAAGTCTCATCTTCGGATCATTTAAATGGATCACTAAAACTCAAGGAACCATAACTCGACCAAAAAGTAGCCAAGAAGCAGCTATGTCTTTCGTATGGACGATACTCTCGGCCCACTAAACAAGTTCCAACGAAAACGAGGAACAACAAGCGAAGAGACAAACTCTTTTGAATCTCGAGAATGGAACGTCTCATCCAGGAAATAAATGACGTGGACACGATTCGATACTTGTGAACAGGAGTTCCACGCAAAGAAATTCGTTTTGTAGAAAAAAAAAAAAAAAAAGGAAAAAGGAAAGAAATGAAAGAATGGAGGGTTGTCAGGGGATAGAAAGAAGAGATTGTTTTCCACACGAAATGAAGCGAATACCTGACGAAGAGTTGGAAAAGAGGATTGCATCCGAGTCTTTCGAATGTTAAAGAGGGTGTCGTTTGAAAGTTCAGGAGATGATTGCTTTTGAAAACCACGAGGTGAAAATTTTCACGAGTGTCTAAAATAAAAGTACAAGATTATATAACCCTCATTGAAAATGCAATATTATAATTCTGTATTGTATTAAAATTTCCTGTATAATTTCTGCCCTTTAATGTATTATTAAGAGAAATTAGAATTTGAACGAGTAGATCAATCGATTAAAAGTAACACGAATGAATAGAGAAGGAGTATTTGCTAATAGATCGACTTACTTATATAGAGATCAATTCGTGAGATATTGTAATTGCTTCTAATGAAATTAGGATATATATACATGTGAATACAAGTATTCAATATTAAGTTTCATTATAAATTGTTATGATCGTAAATAATCTTTTTCTCTCTGATTTATTACATCACAAATAAAATATGTCTTTTGAATCTATTTTTCCAAACATTTTTTTATTCACCAATTGTTAAATATTGATGGATATTACAAGGATAAAAATTTATAAATCAATTCTTTTTCTTCTCTTAAAATTTATTTGTTTATAACAATAAAAGAAAAGTCTTTTTACAATACAATTGCAATAATGAATAATCCAAATTAAGGTAATATAAGTACTTTAAAATCTCACTCTGTCAATATAAACAGAAGAACAATAACTGTAAATAACAGTTGAGTTTTAAATCCATTTAAATAATGTCTCTTATGCAATGTAATTAATATTTATGAACGAATTCGAGCCAGACAATATATAATATATACAAAAATATAACTATCCCTATTAATTGTTGTTAATCACATAGTTGAGGAAATTCAATCGGTCGTGAATCAGTGGCGAATTGAACGCCATCAAGGAGCACGATCAACGTAGCCTTCTTTCTTTTTTTTTTTACTTCGTGCGAAATGTTATTAATTATAATTAATAGGATTAAGATCATTATATAACGTCATTATTGCTCGACACACACGATGCCATATTTATATATCGAATTCGTACGAAAATTCAATTCCTTCTCAAGTCAAAATTCTTAATTACGATGGATCGAATGTATTGTTCTAAAAAAAAAAAAAAAAAAAATGAATTTGAATGATCGTGACAAAAAAATTTCCTTTATATCTCTCATAAAATGAATTAGAATAAAGAAAGAAATAAGCAAAATAACAAATTTAAATCGTATTGAAAAAAATTAAATTGAAAAAAAGTAAGGGAAGACCAATAAAACGAATAAGATGAATTTTTGTGAAAATTAATAATTTTACATCGCATTAATTAAATTCTATATCTCGTTCAACGGGTAAAAACACGCGTAAACACATACACGCACAGGAGGAAGAACAAAACAACATTTATCTCTCCAAGAGAAGGGAAAAAAAAAAAAAGTATAATTCCCGATCACTTTTTCGCAAACTCGTCCATTCATCCCCAAACTCGAGCGAACTCGCATAAATTCTCGTCTCGTTCCCTTCTCCAACAAATATATTCGTCCCGATCTCGAGAGAAGAAGAGAAAAAAAAAAAAAGGAACGAAAGAAGAGAGAGAAATTTCCACTCTTTTTCGGTTCGAGCGGGGCATTTAGAGGGAAAGGGTGGAATAGAGGAGAGGAAAGATGATGGATAGGGAAGGATACAGGGAAGAGGAACGATGAAAGCCACGAGGATGTTCTTCCGCCGATTCGAGGTGCGCAGAAGCGGTGCTCGGCGTCGTTTATCGCGACGAGGGCAAACGCAGTCGTGATCCGCGCGGCATCCGTGTCGGTTCGTTGTTTCGTTGTGACCGATTTGAAGTTGCATCCTGCCACTCTGTGACCGGCCAATTTCCTTGGATCGTTGCAAATTTCATTGGGGAGCCATCCGGAGAAATTGGAGGGATGTTTTGGTTCGACGAGGAAGGAGTCTCGAAGTTTTCGTACGTTTGATGAAACCTGAGCAGTTGTTCATTCTTGAAGAAGAATTTGAAGATTGGAGATTCGAATAAAAAAATAATTTGAAATTGCAGATATTTTGATCCGAGGAAAATTGGATTGTCATTGTCGAATATAGCGTTTTATGAATTCTTGTGAAATTGAAGAACCAAAATAGAGTGCAATTGTTTTGATATATTCTAAGAAGGGTTTGGAGATCAAGAAAATTGAAGAGATTGAAGTTTTGGAGAAAAACAAATTTGGCTCAAAAAGGAAATTCAAAAGAATCGAATATTTAATCTGATAATTGGTGACAATTTAAAGGTGAACAAAATTAGGGAATCTTATGCAATGTATAAGAAGAAGAAGATGAATTTCGCAGTGAAAATTGCACTTAAAAAATCCTGTTCCTAAGAGGAATCGAACAACACTACTTCCACTCCCAGTCGACCAACCCAACATTTTACAATGCAATCAGACTCCTAACTCAATCCAACCCCTAATCTGTCCACCCAAATAACAGAACTATGCCCGTTCAACGTCCTCCAAAATATCGCAAGGAATGACCAATCTACACAGCCAAACGCCTGAAACGAATCCAATCCGAATCTCTAACTAGACCGCCACCAGAGTCAAAGCATGTCCATCCACGACAGTCTGCCAGACAACCGCATGGAATGATCAATAATGGATAATAACCTAACAACCATCCTCCCAAACGTATCCAACCTCGCCCTCACCCTCGTCCTTCGCAACCACTTTCAAAACTTCACCACCCTGTACGCGAACAACACGAACAACGAAATAACCCTCGACTCGGTCCCTCACAGAGACTCGTTGCACATCGTGATCCCGGTGACCATCATCTACGTGTCCATCTTCGTTACTGGGATAATCGGGAACATAAGCACGTGCATAGTGATCGCGCGCAACAAGTCAATGCACACGGCGACCAACTATTATCTGTTCAGCCTGGCCGTGTCAGACCTGTTGCTGCTCGCCTCCGGCCTCCCGGCGGAGATCTACATGGTGTGGTGCAAGTATCCCTACATCTTCGGCGAGGGTTTCTGCGTTCTTCGAGGGTTGGCCGCCGAAACATCTACGAACGCCTCTGTCCTCACCATCACGGCGTTCACTGTCGAGAGATACCTGGCCATCTGTCACCCGTTTCTGTCGCAAACCATGTCCAAGCTGACCAGGGCGGTGAAACTGATCCTGGTCGTGTGGCTGGTTGCCCTGTCGTTCGCCTTGCCCCAGGCCTTGCAGTTTGGCCTGGTGCAGCACAAGGCGCATCCGGAAGTGGTGATGTGCACAGTGAAGAGGATCCTGCTGCAGCACTCGTTCGAGTTGTCCACCTTCCTGTTCTTCGTCGTACCGATGAGCCTCATCACCGTGCTCTACGCCCTGATCGGATTGAAGTTGAGAAAATCGAACATGATGAAGAGGAGCAGAGGGAGAGATACGGGCGGCAGTTGCAGGCATCAGACTGGAAGGTCGTCGAGGAGAGTGCTGAAGATGCTCGGTGAGTTTGATTAGTGTTGAGAATAAGTGTTATATGTTATGAATACGTGAAAATGTGCAATTTGTATCTTTGCTGCTTTATTTGGCTGGCATAGACTTGATATTTTTGATGAGAGCACGAGTCGAAGTGGATTCGTATGATGAATATCAGTCCGTTTCTAGTTAAGTTAAGTTAATAAGACTGCGGTCAAATTAAAACTTTCGATTGCCGGTTTTATAAGTTGTTGGTACTAATGGATTTGTGTTTGGCAATGAAGTTAATTATAATTTTACTTATAATTAATAATTTGTAATTTACAAATTTTTAATTTGTCGATTGAATAAGTAACAGTTAAAGAAGAGGCATTGCATTATATTATATTTAAAATTTGTAAAAGAATTGTTCTATATCAAATATTTTCTTCAGACGAAAAGCTCGATGCATTTTCTCGATAAAAAAAAGTCAAGATTATCGACTCGAAACAACTATCGAGTGTCAGTGAGTTGTTTAAAAAGGGAAAATAAGGGATAGAGTTCGATCTTTTTTTTCCCAAGGGAACGATTTTTCAGCCTGAAGAAAGGGAAGAAAACATCTTTGAAGGGTTAGTTAGCGGAAGTTAAGTCGACACCACTTAACTCCGAACCACCCTTTTCCGGAAATAAAGACTTTCAGTCCTTGTAAAAGGCAACAAACGGGAAGAAGTGAAATGTTTATTTAAAACGAAATTACAGAGTAAATTATTTATTCGAGAATTCGGTTTTAAAAAAATGGTTTTTCAAATTTTCCAAATTGCAGAAAGAATTTGAATCATCGTTTGTACGATGCAAAATGTTGGAACATTTAATAAACATGATTTCTTCGAAATCATCAACATTGACATTATTTTTGAATTGCAAAAAATTCAAAATTGTTAAAATTATCAAGATATTCGACATAGCAAATAAATTTCAAAAACGAAGAAAAAAGAAGATATTTCATAAATATTGAAATCTTGCCTTGAAATTTAATTTTACAATCGAGCCATTTAATAATATTTTCGTGGAATATCACCAGAAGAGGAGAATTTTACAAATTACACGATCCTCGAGAAATTCTGTTTGTTATTCATTCGGTATGAGCTTTTGAGACAATTTTTAAGAAACAAAGGCGGAATAATAAATTTCTAAATACGCGATCACCAACCATCAACATCGATAATTTTGAAAATTTTCTTCTTCTTTATGAAAAAATTCCGGATGCATCACACAACCATACAAACTATCAACCATATGTTTCAATCGATCATATCACGATGACAAGATTATCTGGGCCAATATTTCAGAAATCAGCAGAATATTTTTTATAATAATAAATTTTCTTTATATTTTATAATAAATGCAATGAAAATGAAAAGATGAAAATTGATTGAAAATTGTAAAGTGATAATTTTTTATTATGCTTAATGCATGGAGAAATAAGTAAAAAATGCAGAATAAAATTTATTCATTTTTAAAAAAAATATTAGTTTCCACAATTTTTTTTAGAAATAAATAAATTTTATATATCTTTTGCTTAATTTTTTTTTTGTATGTCTTATGCCTTGAATATTAAAAAAGAAACAGAATTTTGAACGATCATTCAAGAATCGTAAAATCAAAAAAAGAAAACATGAACTGATCATGCGAGATATTCTTTTGATTTGAATATAAATCAAATGAATGATCGTATCATTCATATTGGACATGTACATATAAAATTATGTTAAATTGTTATTTAGTTTCGTTCATTTATAAAAATTCATTTATAATGGCGAAAAGAACAAGTATTCTTTGTTCTGCTACGTGTATTGAGATAAAAATATTCTATAAATGTTAAATGGATAATAATGAAGAAGTTTATCATTTGATAATGTACCAGCTTCTTATAAATATGGTTGTGATACTTTTTATAACATTAAATTTTTTCAGATTTTTCTATTACAATCCATATAGAAATTATATTAACGTTCACTATCAATAAGTTACATTTATGGAAAAGATACTTTACAAATTTTTAAAATATTCCTTTCATTAAAAATAAAATATTTTTCCTAATAATTTAAAGTATAAATCAATTCATGAAATATCTCGTTTATAAATAAATTTATTTCGTCCTCGTAAGAACAAAAGTCATACACTTACAAGACAATTTAAAATTTTTAAAAACAAAAATACAATAAAGAATGTTATCATATTTAAAAAAGGAAGATTAAAAACGTTGTTCTTCTCAGTCCAAAATTTCACGTAATAAAACAGTGTATAGTCGTTTTTATAAAGCAGAAGAAAAAATTAAAGAAAAAATTAAACGATAAAAATTAATCGAATTAACAATTAAATTTTCAATAAATTTCGTAATCATATAACTAAAAAATTCATTTCGATTGTACGATAAATTTTCGAAGAAGAATTCGACACGTGGACCAACTATTTAAATATGTATATGCATTTTTCGTATTTTTTATACATTTTTTTTTTATTTTATCACATTGTTATCGAAGATAAAATCAATAATATACGATTCCTAGGTAAGGAAGAATGTTATAGAATGCATAAAAAAAAAAAAAGATTTTGAAATAAACGATGTATGGAAATGAGATTGGTAAAAATATCAATGGATGCTGTTTTTTTGCAAAACTTTGAGATTCCTGTCAAATCGATCTCTTTGTATACGAGAATTTATTTTTAATATTTTCTCGTTGAAAAGTAGAAAAAAAAATAATACAAGAGAAGAAATATATATGTATATATATATATTTGCTTTAATTATGCCAATTATCATTTAACGATCATTTTCGATTTGCGTCGTAATAAATTATATGTACATCTAATAAAAATTCCGATATTACTTGTAATAACATATGCTTAACAACATATAGAATATTTATTTATAAATTTAATTATACCGTTCAAGGATTTGAACTATTTATTAAATGGATTATATTAATATCGAAGTGTTAGTAATAAGATCGTACATATCGTAAAATAAAACTTACTTAAATAAAAATAAAAATTTGTTGGTAAATTTGTTATTTGTAATTTAGAATTAATTTCGAACAAATCGAAAGAATCTTATTAAAATTTCTAATAAATAAAGAAAAAAGGTCATAATAATTCAATTTTTTAATAGCAAGATACATAAAGTCAAGAAAAGAATTCGGATCATGAATTAATTTTATAAAGCAGTTTCTTGTCCTCGATATTCTTTCACCGAGCTTGTTTATTATTAGTAATTATCGTTTGTATCGGTGGGAAAATTGGCAACGAAATCATGAATTTACAATCGAGCCACATGTGTGTCACATATAACACCGATAACTCGTTATAAATTCAAGATTTGCTCTATTTCCATAAACTTCCAAAACGAGTTCATGATAATCCTTTATTGTTACTTATTTTGATTATTTTAATTGAGTCATATTATATAACTTCGAATACTTCACATATTTGATAATTGGAAATTCAATATAGAAGAACGGAACTTTTAACGTGAGACTGTAAATATCAGTTGACTACCATTAGTTAGAGTAATAATAAGATCAATTTTAAAGTGAAATAAAATAATTTTTGAAAATTTGAAAAAATCAAAATCAATAAACACCAGATAAAATTAAGTGGAAAATTATTTTAATGAAGTTTATTAAAATATTCATGAAACATTTTTGGAGAATCGATTCTAAAAGCCAAAATAAACACAAAAATTGTTATGCAAAAATATATTTAATATAATTATAAGTATAATTTATAAGTTTGGATTAGATAGAAGACGAGAATAGAATGTGACGATAGAACAGAGTTTCGTTTTCATCTTTTTTTTTTTTATTCTTTTTCATTTCATCTCTTTCTCTAAAACAAACTTCAAACTTGCTTATAACTTAATAAGTAAATCAATTTTCATATTTTATTTTAGAATCGACTTAAAGATATTCCACGAATATATTAACACTTTGTACATGGTTGAAATGTTATTTGAGAATGCGCGTGCATCAACACTGCGTATGAATCTAATTCATCTGTCATGCAACTGCACGAGCAGGTCACATCATCAAACTTCATTAAACTTCGCAATTATACATGTGTATACGCGTGTATTTGAACATGGAAGTTTCATATAAATAGCTCAGAAACAACAATGCTTTTGCACGTTGCATCGATCTTATCTTTATAATATGGTATAATTCTGGTTGATACCATCAAATTGATTTTTATCACGGAAACTGATAAACAATAAATAAAAATAATACAAATAATTTCTTCCTTTAGTGTATAATTAAATGATAATCTATTTGACAGAAAGTTTTGAGGTTAGGAGGATGTAGTGATCGAAGAACATCAAATAGACTTGCTGTTATCATAATCTTTCTTTTGTTGTATATCATTGTCATCGATTAGTACGATGTACTGGAACTTCCATTTGTTGAATTTATAATAAATACGAGAATTTTATCAATTTTCGTTCATGTAAGATAAAAGGAATTTTCTTACGACGATAATTTAATAATTAGAACTACTCGATTAATTTCATCATTTTAATTTTTTTATCGAAATTTTCAAAATGAATTTTTTTTCCACCATTTCTTCTTACAGTGAGATATAATATTCTTTTATTATCAAACTTAAGGAACTTCGAGAATTCACAAACAATGAGAAATGTATAAAAATAGTTCGATCGAAGTTTTTCCTTTTATCGACTTCTTCATAGGGAGAGTATCCGATATCAACTATCCTGCAATCACTCGAACAATAGAGGAATCAAACTGCAATTGTATCGAGGAAACGAGTCTTTAAGGCTTTGTAAGGAAATTATAGTTAAGGAAATGAAAAAGAACTTTCATCTCGCGGTACAGCTTTCTCGAAATTAATAAAAGAAGTTACACAACAAAATTACTTATTTCACTACTTGGAAAAAATTCGCGATGGATTTCATTCTTTTGAAAGGAAAACATGAAGAGGATGAAGAAAAGGTGGGATTAAATGCGAGCATAAATTTTTGTATGGTTAAGAACG